ATGCAAGGAACCCAGGCCTACTTAAGATACTCCAGGTCAAAGGGCAGCAGCCTAAGTTTTACTAAGCTCTCCAGGTGATTTGAAAGCATGCTAAAGTTTGAGAATCACTTGTCTATATTTTTTCATACTAAGCTTAATGTTAAGGAAATGACAACCATTTTGAAAATTCCAAAATTTAAGAGATATGAATAAGAATAAATCAAAACAATGCTAATTCATTGCCTCACTGTCCAGAGGACAGTACCCTCTTTCCCAAACTGGCAAAATATCTAATCTGCATCTTGATTATGCTACATTAAAAAAGTAAAGTGGACCCTCTGAATCCACAGGTTCCACATCCCAGGATTCAACCAAGTATGAGTCAAAAATATGCAGGAAAAAAAATTGTGTCTATACTGAGCCTATAGACTTTTTCTTATTACTCCCTAAACAGTACAGTATAACAACTATTTATAAAGCATTTACAATGTATTAGGCATCATAAGCAATCCAGAGGTGATTTAAAGTATATGGGAGGACATATGTAAGTTATATACAAATACTAGGCCATTTTATATAAGCAATTTAAACATCCATCCTCACATTCTGGAAGTCCCAAGAGGGTCCGAACCAAATCCCTGACGGATAACAAAGAATGAATGTATAACCCTGATGTGCCTTACTGGGAACTGAGGGAAATGCAAAATAGGCATAGAGCACAGAAGTCCACACTAACTCCAAAAAAAAATCAGAGGCCATATTAGGAAGAAAAAAATACATTTTGAATTTGGGCAGTAGAAGCTTGATAAATCTTGAGCCATAACTCCATAATCCTTTTTATCCTGGGCTCAACTCCAAATTTTTACAACATCAGTTCAACAAACTTCCAATTGCCAAAAAAAGAAGTTGCAGCCTTCAGAAACATTTGATTCTCGATTCAAATTACTTAAGTACACAGAACTGTCTTTCCATGAGCACTTTTAATCACAAGTAAAGGTAATCAACACCTAATTACACAGCAACCACTAACATGATCCCTGCCCCTTATTACACCTGCTCCTAACAAAATTCTATCTGATCCTTCTCTTTTCAAAGCTAGATCAAGAACAAGAATCTTTATCCCCAACCCAAGTCCTCAATTTGAGCAGTACATAGGTATTCAAATTTGCCTATTACCAATTAGGCTTTAAAAAAAAAAAAAGGAAAAGGGATGGAAGAGAATGAGAAATAAGTATATTAAGTTTCCAAGATGATTTGAGAACTTATAAGGTAAATAATTTTCTGAAGCTATTCACTTGCATATGTCATTCATTAATTTTATAAAGTTCAATTTTTATAATTTTATAAGGCATCAATTGGAAGACTAAAGAGTACCTAGTCCAAGTCTAGACCACAAGAGAGTTATAAACCTGACTTAAAATGCTCACTAACATGACTAAATTCCTTTAAAGGTGAAGAGAACCCTGGGAAGCCAATACCAGGATAGCTTTAAACAGCCTGGCCACTTAAACAACCCACCTTCCCACGCCCATGTTCATCCAAGGGCTAGCTGCACTGCCAAAGAACTATCTAACCAGAAAGGATGTACCCTATTTATTTCCCTCCTTCCAAATCATCATCAAATCCCCTGAGAACAAGATGTCTCCAATAAACTAATTATCGTTGCTCTTCTCCCCACCCACAGCACAGTAGAACTGAAATAAACACACCTAAGACCTTCACATTTAAGCTCCTTGCATTTGCCAGGGATACCTTCAAAATATCTTGCAAAATGCAATCATCCCAGGTTCTCCAAGAACATGAACCATTCCTTTCCCTCAAACGGGAATTGCTTCTATCAAAGCAACAGCTGTGTTTTCTGATCTTCCATCTGCAACCATCAGTAAAAAAACAACCTGATTAGTAACAAGCCCAACTAATAGTACCTATCAGAGAGAAAAGAATACTCCCAGCCTACGTAAGTAAAGCCAACAAATAGATGTTTCTCCTGAAAGAACAGAAAGATTTGAGTATGAGAAAAAAATATATTTTTACAAGCCTAGAAAAAAAAATTATTTTACTTAAGCAGCTGTTTATAGTGAATAATCTTGTTACACACACCATTCACCACTTCTTTTAAAGAATCAGGAATCTAGGGACTGGGGTTGTCGCCCAGAGGTAGAGCGCTCGCCTACCATGCGTGAGGCACTGGGTTCGATCCTCAGCACCATATAAAAATAAAATATTGTGTCCACCTATAACTAAAAAAGAAATATTTAAAAAAAGAATCAGCAATCTAAAGAAAAGAAAAGCACAAGGCTTTCCTCAAATAGTTTAGTACCAAATTATATAAGATTTCAACAAAACACAAAGCATTCTATAAAAAGTTCAAGTATACATAAATAAGAAGCAATAAATCTACACTCTGGTCTGGATCCCTGACCTCAAGAAGAACCAAAAGGCTTTAGAATAGAGGTTATTTGTGAAATGACTAGCAATTTCCTTCCCTTTAAACCATCCTATCCTTCCAAATAACCTTATTCAAAAAAATTTAAGCCATTCATTGCTACAATAGAAATAGCTGAACATTTTTATGCTTGTCATTGAAATGTTTATAATAATAATTTTTAAATCAGCTTGAAATCATCAATAAGCAGCATTCAGTGCACCATCTAGTGGAAGTCATGTAATGTAAAGGTAATGCAATTAATTTTTTTTTTTAATAAAAAGAAAAATCGCTGAAACCAAGAAAATCATATAGGTTGGAAGGGGAAACTCAGGTATGAATTCAAGCAAATAAAAACAGCCAGAATCTCTTTCCAATTTCCCACACTGCAGGAGGGCTGGACTCATCAAAAGAAAGGTTTCATCCTTAAAAATTAACAGATGATGAAAGGTTTCCTTATGGAAATTTTTTTGCTTCAGTGCTAGAAACTAAGTTAACAGGAGAGTAAAAGTTAAACAAAGGTGATAAAGCATAAATCAGTAAGTTAGTGCAGGGCAAACTGATAAGCCTTGTGTCTTGTATGTTACACAAATAAGCTATATCAAAATATACCTATACTATGCTATAGATGCATCAGCATTAAAACAAAGGATTACTTCATGATTCAACGAGTCCCATTCATTAATTCATAAAACATTTCCACATTACCCCCAAAACTAGAATTAACAAAACCTGACAACTCTCTAGAGTTCCCTAAGAATTGACATAAGAGAGGTTATTCCCAACTACCCATGTAAACCTGCTCCACATTGACTCTTAAATTCCCTTGTGTGAGTCATTCTAATTAAGGAATTTTGTTACATTTTCAACCTTTCTATAAATTTATAGTAAAGATGTCCCTAAAGTCATAATCACAAAATACATCAGACTTCATTTGTATTTGCCTTTATGCAAATTATTTCAAGCCAATTCTGAAATAATAGTCCTGAAATCACTTCTAAGCTAGAGATGCAAACATAAATAAGGTTCTGGATTTTGGAAAGCCCCCCAAATTTTAAAATAGAGATTTTCATAGCACTACCAAATTTTTTGTTGTGCCTGTGTGGAAAATTATCTTTGGGCAAAATTCAAGCTATGTTAGCAACTTAGGAGAAAAAAGAAAAAGAAAACTAATAAACTACTTCTTTTACTTGGAAATAAACATCTTGGTATCTGACTCCTGTACATGTGAAGGAATCAGTATCCAGAAGCTGGCTTGATAGAAAAAACCTTAAATCTTGGATTTAAATTTGGGTATAAATTATGGAGGATGGTGATTTTGCTCAGTGGTAGAGTGCTTGCCTAGAATGTGTAGGGCCCTCGGTTCAATCCAGAGTACTGCAAAAATGAACAAAAAATTAAAATAAACTAGAAGTCAGTCAAGTGAGTAGGGTAGACTCCTGTCATCTCTGGGGCTTTCAGTTTATGTGCCTTAAAAGTGGCATGCATGCTTTGCATAGCCTATCTCAGTAGCGTAGGAAGATGGCATACTAAAATTGACAGAGGATATGAGCTTCTCAACCAATAGATCTAAATGAAAATACTATTTTGTAGAACATTAGTGGACCAGGACAGAATAAATGCTCTTCAGGAGTTCTCACTGTGCCATTATTACTAAATTTCGTTGACCTTTATCATTTCACTTGTGACTAAATGGTGTACCGAGCAGGGGGAAAAAAAAAAAAGGTAATAGCAATCCAAAGTACTGCTTTATAAATGCGTCAAATCACGCATTGAATTGCCTAAGGCTTGTCTGCAAAGTAGTACCAGTGAGCAGCAGGTGCATCCCTGGATGCCTAAAGTCCAAAGATTACTTCAGAAGAGGCTTTTTTTTTTTTTAATTTGCTGTTGTTACAAATCATAAAAAGAAAAAAAAAGAAAAGAAAATCACAATTCTACTTCTACCCATGGCAGAGTGATAGCAACAAGGTCCCACCCCCACAATCCTTTCAAACCTGCACAAGCATTCCTTATGAACATTACTCCCCCTCATTCCTCTCTCACCTTTCACCACTTTAGTCCAGACAAAGGTGAGTCACACTGCTGGGTCTACTTGTCATTTAAGGAAAAGCCTCCAAACAAACTCACGTTAAAGACTAATCTTAATTCTAAAAATAATAAATAACTGAAGAGAACGTTAATGTGTACACCACCGCACTGTCAAGTGCCGGTCTCCAGAAAATGTGTAGTTAACACGACCAAAGTAAAGACGCCTTTCTGGCTTAGAGAGTACACAGCTTATCGCTACTTATCAGAAGGTCCTGCAATTCCCCTCCACCTGCACATCTTCCCGCCCTCCGACCGTCGCCCCATCCGAGTCCAAGAGGGTCCCCAAAGTCCCGCCCGCGGCGGCTCCACACAACTGGCCCCGCCTCCACCTCCCCGCAAGGTGCCGCCGCCCACGCCACGGCGGGCTCCTGGCGGAGGCCGCTGGAGGCTCCCGGTGACCACCGCCCCCGCCCGGTCGCCCGCGGCCAGAGCAGCAAAGGGAACGGATCCCGCCGCCAGCCGTAAGCAGGGTATTCGGACAGGCGCTGCAGTCCCAGCGCCCCATTACCTGCTCTGGTAACCGTGGTCTTAGGGAGACGCGCTGGCTCTTGCCCCTAAAGCCCGGGGACAAGTAGGCAGCTACCGGGGCAGCTGCAAAGGACAATCAGAAGCCGGCGGGCTCGGCTCCGCGGCGGCGGGCGCAAAACGCACAAACCCAGTGGGAGACCGGCCCCCACCTCCAGCCCGGCGAGTAACCGACTCGGCCCCCTCCCTCGGAGGGGTGGAGACACGGTTGAGGGGCGGGCTAAAGGGCGGGGCCGCACCGCCCGCTGGGCGTGAGCTTCGCCGAAGCTTTGTAAGAGGCGCCCGCTAATAGGCTGCGAAAGTAGTGGGAGTCTCAAACTTGAGGGCAGCCTTTTCAACCGAACTCCCTCATTGGTCAGTAAGGGAAAACAAAGAGTAGCCCTGATTGGTGACAGCTCTGTAGCTCCTCCTCTTGCCCGCAATCTTCGCCCGTTTAGCTCCTACCCGCCTGGTTCGCTTGCCCTTGGTTCCTCTGTCCCAGGTGGCTGCAGGATGGGGTGTGTTTGACGAACAAACACCCTCCCTGAAGAAAACCCCGGATGCCCAGGTTCATTTACCAGATACCAGCTTTCTTACCTCTAGGCAATTCTTTAATTTTCGTGTGAACTTGGTGAATAACAACTGATTTTAAACATCACGTGAATTTAGAGAGGTCTCTAGGTTATGCTAGAAAATGTTGCGTAAGATTCTGGTGGATATTGTCATATGCGAAGAAAAGACAAGTTGTTTTCACCTTTCATGAGATAATAGGTGACTTTATCTTTCTGCTTTCCATATTTTAGCATGTATTACTTTCATAATTAAGGGGGAAAAACATTTTGTAAGACTAGAAAAATGAGTAAAATGTAGAGAAAGGTAAAAATAAAAAACTTGGAGGATAAGCAGGGAACTAACTGATCTGCAGCAGAAGAAAATACAGTAAATACACTTAAAATCTGAGGACTATCAAAAAAAACATGAACTGGTACCAGCCCACTTCAGCTCTCTTAAAAAAAAAAAAACTTAGCAAACATGACTGAGGTACCCCATTTCCTTCCTGAGTAACCACTATTTTTGCAGCTCATAATGTAGATAGCACTACACTGAACACAGCTTTTATTATAGAAAAACACCTTCATAGGAAAAGTTTGGAATCCAAAGTACAAAAAAAAAAAGACTACAGAAATAAATTCAGATATGAATTGGAAAGCTTAGATAATGGAGGGAAAGAAAAGAATGTGACACAGGCTTTGAAAATTAAAAGCTGAGGGAGGGAATTGAGATAATGATCACTGGTAACCCAGGCTGGGTGTCATCTTGTCCAGTTTAGAAGGGAGTAAAGTTTATCTCATCTAAGGACCATTCTACCTCAGTTCTCTCCTGCCGCCTTACCATTCTTTGTTCTTGTCATTCTCGTGAAGTTCTAAAACAAGCTGTATTAAATTAAGCACTTACTTTCTCCAAAACTTCATGAATTATAGAACAATGAAAAAATAGAGATTGACAAAAATCAGATTTATCGAAGGAAAGGAATGTTAAGGTAAACATCAACTTGAAAAGAAGCAAGGACAAGAAAGCTGATTCAAAGAGCAGGACAAATCCTTTTTTTCTCTTACTTCCTGAGAATAAACTTTGTCTTTGGAGGACAAAGTAACCACATTTCCTAACAAAGGCTTTTGACAGAACCTTTGAAATAAATGGAATCCTAAACAATAGTCTGAAAATATATGACCTGGAGTAAGTACTCTGAGCAAATAACTTAGTGTTCATATCTACTTAATTTTAAATCATCTAAGGAAAAAAGGGAACTTAATGTTTCCTAGTATGAGCAAAAAAAGGAAGAAAACAATACAAAAGTCTTTTCTACAATAACACCTGAAATTCCATCACTAATTTTCTTTCATTGGGATTAAATAATATGTATCTAAAATGCTTTTTTTATTCATTGACTCACCAAGCATGTAATCAATATTAATTCTCTAATACTAAGCACTCAGAATGTAGCTTTGAAGTAGACAGACTTGATAGGCTATTCTCATTAGTACAAGAAGAGAGATAATGAATGAGTAAATAGGCTAATTTGTTCAAGGACAAAGAAGAAAATGAAAAAGTGACCAGAAAATAGTTTATTTAGGAACAGGAATAACTTTTCAGGTATGGCATATGCCTGTAGTTCCAGATACTCAGGAGGCTGAGGCAGGAGGATTGCTTGAGCCCAGGAGTTTGAGGCCAACTTGAACAAGATCCTGTCTCAAAAATAATAAATAACTTTCCTTGCATCACAAACTTGCCTAGCATGGATGGGCCCAGAATATTGAAATGCTTTATTCTAAGATATGAGCTGCCACCTAAGTGAGGAAACACCAGCTTTGCAAAATTCCAGAAGAGAGTAAACAGTAAGGGCAAAAACCAAAAAAGAAAAGGGATGTATCGGAAGAACAGGGAAAAGGCTAGTAAGGATAGACTGGCCTAAAAAAGGAGTGGTATCAAATAAGTCAGAGAGGGAAGAGGGCCCCTTGATATGACAATGGTAAGAACTAGGATTCCTGACAGGTATAACATGAAGTTTCTAATATTGGAGTACAATCATATTTCTTTTTTTTTTCTTTTTCAGAGTAATGACAGAAATAGGCATTCATTCATTAAGTCAGTCCATCAGGCATAGATCTATGAAGAACTTACTGTTTGCCAACCAAGAGATTAGATCTGGGGATAAAACAATGACAAACTATTACTGTGCAAATGATGAAGAAATTAAAGGTGCTATAGGCCCACAATCTTGAAGGGGCCAGCTTTTTCTGGAAATTACTCTACTTCAGTTGAATTCTAGGCACCCAGTACTCTCCTTGGTACTAGCTTGAAGTTGCCATTTCCCTTTAAAGTCTTCTACTAATTTCCCTTTCCTGTCTGAAATATGCCTGCATAACCTAAGTTTATTTAAAAAGCAAAAGCACTTGCTCAGTTGGTAAATGTCAATGAACAATCCCACTGTCACCAGCTCAGTGAGATCAATATGTAAAACACCCAGAACTGGTGGAATATCAGGAAGCAGGAGCCAACCACTGTCTGCCAGTATCCTATCAATAAAGAGTCAGTGGGAGGAGAACTGCCCGTGCCCTGGGGCAATCCCATAACTTTTCTAATGGCTATTAGGTATTAAAATCCTTTGGCCAACTAAGCTCCAAAATACAGTTTTAATTCAGAAATTTAAATCTCAATGCCAACATTTTGATCAACACTTCAAGCTACATCCAAAGATAGGCCCTTCTTCCGAAGACTTCCCAACTAGGGTCAATGCTGACAGGCCAGGTACTCCCAGAAACGGGAAAGGACTCCATGTCTTTATCCCATAGACCCTTCTTCCAATTCATAATGCAAAAAACAGGAAGAATACTGGACTAGCATATTTGTCCAGTATTTGTGTTTAATACTATCACCAGGAGGGTTTGCTCTGAGCCTGGCCAATGGCTAAAACTTACAGTGTCCCTCTTGGATGTTTTTGGACATTCTTAGCGACCTGCACCTCAAACATCTGTGTGCACCTCTCAGAATCTGGGCCATGCAGTTTTCTCTGGAAGCCTCCTCCTCCTTAGTTTCTGGTTCCCTGCAGCCCACATCCTATAGATTCTCTTGCTGAGGAGGAGGGGAGGAAATGTTCTCCTGGCCTCTCCAGGTGTTCTTCTTGGGTAGTATTTAAACATCCCCTCCAGCCCAGCTCTCTCTAATTAATGACTCTTATCTGGTCCTCAAGAAACACTCAGACATATTTTCCCCAATCTGTGGATGGGCAGCTACACCCAGTGCAAAGCCATTTTTAGCATTCTTTCTCCTTCATCCTCTCCACTCCACTCCACCTCCACTCCACTCCACCCCCACTGTCTTAAACCAATACCTTTAGTCTCTTATTCTTGAGATTTGTCAGGTTGATGTCAGAAGCTCCAAATAGAGTACATCAGTCAAGTTGCCCTAGTGGTCCTACTGATACCCCTGTCTAGTGAGTTTAAGAACAAGATCTTGAAGGAGTATTGATGCGACTCATAGCATTGCCTTCTTCAAAGAAAACTCCTCATTAGGTCCTTTCCAAATCACCATACCCTTCACCTTTTATGTTGAGTGAAGGGGTTTTAAGACTCACTAAGTGTTAAATTTCCTTTGCAGATTTGCTTCCTGTTGCAGCAATTTATTTTAGAATTTCACACCTATTGTTTCTTATGGGCCTCAATCAAAACTTCACTTACATCTTGTCATACTATAAAACACTTTTGGTTAACACCAAGGGCATAGAGTAAAGAAAACTTGTTCTCTGAAATCATGATGTCAGACACATTGCTGTTTGAATCTGAGTTAGAATGGCAATCCCTTTTGCTTGTGGCACAGGGAAATAACCTTGATTTCCAACCTAGGGAATGATATTGCTTTGGTTCCAGGATTTGTATTCTGTCTTTATCTTAACTTTATTATTTCCAAAGAAATAGTACACTGAATCTATCTTTGAGGCCAAACCTCATGTGAATAAAAATATTATTAAATGTTAATAAAATAATTATAGCCTTGTTCTGCTTTGAATCTATCCCAAGACTTTCCTTCAAATGCTACCTGAAGTCCAATCCCTCCCCAAATCCTACAAGAACTCTGTCTTTGTTTGGCAAGGGTCCTTGTCACACTCTTCTGTAACACAAGTTCAGAAGCTCAACCAAGTTCAATTGCAGGCTTTTCTCTGGTGCGGTGTGACTGTTGGACTTTATCATTAATGACCCAGTCTTCACTGTAGAGGTTACTACTCCCGGGTTCTGTATTCCAGTCTGCATCTCTTTAGGCTGCATCAAGTCACATAAACCATCACCACCATTGTACCATCCATCACCAGAGTCATCCAGAATCCTGCAGTTATAGTAATGTCACAATTACTACACCATAAACATGCATATGCAGAACAGAAACATCTGGGGTTTGCAATGAAAGAAGAAACTAGCAATTCCCATATATTATTACTTTGCAAGGATATTAAAAATTATCTGAAGGGCTTTTTCAAATTCCATAAACTGTAAGATACTGGTACAATCCTTTCTGCTTATTCCCTCCCCAGATATATGTTCCTAGCTGTTATCACATCAGTAATTCTACTAAAGATGGTAGAATACTATCAGGTATGTTTGGGACAAGGTTAGAAACTATTCCTCACTAAACCTATAAACCCCTTATCAAAATTCTAAGTTCC